AAAAACAAAAAACAAAAAAAAGAAACTCGTTCTGCTGGACATACGTCACAATTGGAACGATACAGAGAAAGAAGATTATCACGGCCCCTGCGCACGGATGACACGCATAAATCGATTTACGTAAAAAAAAATAAAAAGAAGAAGAAAAAAAAAAGACAAAGAAAAAGGCAATGCACTTGGACGTGTGGTCAGACTTCAAGCGATTCATACCGGCATCCACTTGGAAGTGTGGTCAGACGCGGTGAAGACGCTCCTAGGGAACCACCCCAGCTGCATTTCTCTTGCACTGCGCGCCACGCAATCCCAGACACGTGGAGACTCACAGGCGAAACCGATGACACCCGCGCGAGACGACGTGGCTGCCACGTCAGCACGCGCTGACCTGGCGATCGCTCGCGCACATCCCACGGTGAACCTCGACACACGTGACATTGTGACAATCCGAGACCGCTCCGCGCCTGTTTGGTAAGGTCGCGACCTCGACCTCGACCTCGACCGCGACCGAGACCTCAACCTCGACCTCGACCCGCCAGGTGGCACACTCTTGGTCGTGGACGGCCCACCCCCCGCTCAAGTCTTTTTTCGGTAAAGAGGGGGGCGACTTTCAAGGCCACAAAGTACGCTTTCACACGACTTGAATGCAAATATAATTATATAATTATAGGTCCATCCGCGGGGCTGGCCATCGCCAACGGCATCGCCTGGAAATAAAATATACTAACGCACAACAGAATTTCAGAGCCGAGTTCCACTTTTCACAAACCAGGATCTCCGACCGTCACCGGGCATTGGGCCTCGCTCCACTCCACCACTGTCGAAATGTGCAAAATGAGAGTGAATCTTACGCTAAAACGTGGAAAGGTACAGTGCCATGATTTTTGTCTTTTGTGCACGTTGAGAGTCGCGGAGCGAGGCCCATAGACCTCGCGCGCGCATGCAACGCAGCAATCGCCCAAATTCTCTTCCCCCGCCCGCATCGCATCTCAGTTCCTTGCACCTGCATTTAGGTCCGCGGGAAAGAATCAACGACCCGAAGATCAGGATGCCACTTTTCACGGTCAAATCCGCTCCCGGATTTGATCTCTCATGTATTCCACATTGGAACTGCCCCGCCCCAGGTATGACTTCATTCTGTTCATCTGATTGCACTTGGGTTCCAACTCTCGTCTCCATTTCCACCGTTCGTGGGTGTACCAACTGAGCTACAGGTAGGCTCGTTGGTCATTTTGTGAGCGACTTCACAAACCATCAATTCCCCGTTTGTGGTGGTGACAAGATTAGGACCGTCTCAACTGTTAGGATTATCAGTTTTTCTGACAATGGGAACTAAATCACAATTTACCCTCTCTCTCTCTCTCTCTCTCTCTCTCTCTCTCTCTCTCTCTCTCTCTCTCACACACACACACACACACACACACACACACACACACACCAAGG